GGACTATGTCAGAAGATGACACTCTCTGCCTAATGGCCAAAGATGATGCTGATCAAGAGGTAACCTCACAAACCTCCTGCTCATCTTCTTATAGCACACCAACTTCTGAAAATCTTTTTGACCAGTTCAAAAAGATGATGAAAGACTTTGAGGAGATAAATCTCAAACACACATCCTTAACAGAAGAGAACAAACTATTAAGTGAAGAGAATCTCAAGTTGACTGAAAGTCGGAAAAGTCAACTGAATGAGATCACTCAACTCAAGACTGAAAATGAATCTCTCTTTGAAAAGGTGAAATCCCTTAACAAAGAGCTAGGGATACTCAAGTCCCAAGAAGCAGTGAACAAGCTGCTTGAAACGACCAAACATAAGGGTCGCAAAGGACTTGGGTTTGACTCCTCTAGTTCCAAAAGGAAAGGGAAGACAACTTTCATCCCTCCTAAACCTACTGCCAAAGCTAATAAGCAGAAAGGGAAGGAAAAGGAGAAACCAACAGAAGCTCCCAAAAAGGTAGTCCCTTCTAAGAACTATAGGAAGCTGGACAGACCTCAAAAAGGAAATAATTTCAGAAGAAAACCTTTTAACCCCCATTATACACGAAGCTATACTCATTATGGGGTAGACAGGAGTTTTCCAAGAAATTCTGAGTGGAGAACTATGCCAAGATATAGTCACCCTCCACCCCAGAAGCTATTTGTGCCACCTAAGTATGTTTATAACCGACACAGGACACACTATGCACAACCTAGACAAAACTATAGGTCTTATCAACCTAGGTTTGCTAGGAAGAAACATGAAATAACACCTCCTGCACGTAGGAAGTTTTATGCCTACAACTATGATTACAATCCCAACAAGTTTAGAGCTGCAATGAAGATTCCCTGCAACTTCAAACTTGATGTAGGGACACACACCATTAACTACTCCGGACCCAAACTTAATTGGGTACCAAAAAGATTTTAAATCTGTAACAAAGTCTATTCACCCCCCCTCTAGACTTTGTATTTCACCACTTTGGGACCACCATTGACCAAACATTTTGATTGTGTAATGGGACAAGATTAATTGTTCAAGAGCTGCGAAATAATGTTATCGGTGCAATTATGGTTTCGGGAAATCGAGTCGGGGGAAAAGTTTACATCCCTAGAATGAATTTGGTATCATCTGATCCAGTGCTACCCTTGAAGTTTCAAAGAAGACAATTCACGATCGCCTCATGTTTTGTATGACTATCAACAAAAGTCAAGGTCAAACATTGTCATTTGTGAGATTATTTTTAACCAAGTCAGTGTTCACACATGGTCAACTATATTTTGCTGTTTCACGAGTGAAGACAAATACAGGATTAAAAATATTAGTTCTAGATGACAATGGAAACCCTTGCAACCATACCAAAAATGTTGTATACCCCGAAGTCTTTCATAAAATTTGGTATCAAAATAAACATTGTTAACTCTACATTTTGTACCTCAAATATTATTTATTTTACTTTGGCTTTTTTTCATTTGTAGTATTAAAAATCATGTGAGCA